CCCTGTGCAAAATCCTAGCCCCCTAGCTCAAATTTTGCAAAAAATCGGTAAAATCGACATCGATCGATAACGAAAAGTGGACTGTGACAAGCTCCGTGCCCCGAAGTGTATGTGTGCAAAGTTCGGTCCCAATTCTATTCGGAACATACGTACACGGGTCTAGCTGGCAGGCCCGGCGGAGCCGGGCAAGCCAGCTAGTCTTATATATAAAGTTGAATGTCTGTTTGTCTGTATGTCTGTATGTCTGTCTGTACGTATGTTCCGAATAGAAAATTCCATTTCTGTACCGATCCGGACCAAACTTGGCACACATACACTTCGGGCCCCGACGGATGTCATAGGCTAATTTTCGTCATCGATCGATATCGATTTTATCGATTTTTTGCAAAATTTGAGCTACGGGGCTGGGAGTTCGCACAGGGGGGTAATCGAGCATGTTGATTACGAATCTAATAATGACAGGGCCGGGCGGAGCCGGGTGAGTCAGCTAGTAAATTATAATGCCACTTCTTGCCGAGCTGGTTCCTCTCAAAGTAGTGATGCATTCCGTCATTTCTGTGTTGAAGAAACTCACTGGCTTTTTCCACACGTAATTCATTCAGATGTATACTACTAACTGGAAGCACAAGAGGAAAAACAGGAATTTTCAGTGTAGAATCTAAGGAAACTTTGTAAAGTTGTACTAATGTGTGTTTTTGCATATAGACGAATGCTGTGATATCAAATTTTGGTGCAAAGAGATTCGCCTAAATGAAATCAGACACAGTTTGTATTAGGTTTTTAAGAGAAAAAAAACAATATCGTTTTTTATTTGCTTGTCATGGCACCACGATCTTTCGAACTTAAAAACGCATGAGGGGTACTGTTCGATAGAGCAAAGCAAGCTCTACAAGAAAACACCCAAAAATTTGCTCCAAATTTGTTCCACCTAAAGTTGAGCCGTCCAGGATATGAATGCATGAAAAAATCGAGAAAAATTGTATCTTTATCTAGGAGAGTCTTACGAGTTTCTTACTTGTTCAGGCAAACACTCTCTACCAGTGGCATACCGAGGGGGGGGGCGCCCCCTCCCCGAGAACGGGTCGCGAAATTTTTGAAGGTTACTTACATGGGTTATATGTGCAAATGACTTCTGCACTTGTAGATAATTTAAATCTTATATATAAAGCTGAATGTCTGTTTGTATGTATGTATGTATGTATGTATGTATGTCTGTACGTATGTTCCGAATAGAAAATTCCATTTCTGAACCGATCCGGACCAAACTTGGCACACATACACTACGGGCCCCGGCGGGTGTCATAGGCTACTTTTGGTCATCGATCGATATCGATTTTATCGATTTTTATCGATTTTTTTGCTGAGTTCACCTACGGGGCTGGGAGTTGGCACAGGGGGGTAATCGAGCATGCTGATCATCCCCAAGGGGGGTGATCAGCATGCTCGATTACACCCCTGTGCCAAATTCCAGCCCCCTAGCTCAAATTTTCAAAAAATCGATAAAATCGATAAAAGTAATGGACGATCTTGAAAACTAATATTGTGTTCGTAATCTGCATGCTCGATTACCCCCTGTGCAAACTCCCAGCCCCGCAGGTCAAACTTTACAAAAAAATCGATAAAATCGATAAAAGTAATGGACGATCCTGAAAACTAATATTGTGTTCGTAATCAGCATGCTCGATTACACCCCTGTGCCAAATTCCAGCCCCCTAGCTCAAATTTTCAAAAAATCGATAAAATCGATAAAAGTAATGGACGATCTTGAAAACTAATATTGTGTTCGTAATCTGCATGCTCGATTACCCCCTGTGCAAACTCCCAGCCCCGCAGGTCAAACTTTACAAAAAAATCGATAAAATCGATAAAAGTAATGGACGATCCTGAAAACTAATATTGTGTTCGTAATCAGCATGCTCGATTACCCCCCTGTGCAAAATCCCAGCCTCGCATGTCAAAATTTACAAAAAATCGATAAAATCAATAAAAGTAATCGATAATTCTGAAAACTAATATTGTATTCGGAATCCCCATGCTCACTTCCCCCCCCCCCTGTGCCAACTCCTAGCCCTGTAAGTGAACTCTGCAAAAAAATCGATAAAAATCGGTAAAATCGACATCGATCGATAACGAAAAGTGGACTGTGACACCCGCCGGGGCCCGAAGTGTATGTGTGCCAAGTTTGGTCCGGATACGGCGGAGCCGGGTAAGCCAGCTAGTCTTATATATAAAGCTGAATGTCTGTTTGTCTGTCTGTATGTCGTCTGTCTGTCTGTATGTCTGTCTGTACGTATGTTCCGAATAGAAAATTCCATTTCTGAACCGATCCGGACCAAACTTGGCACTCATACACTACGGGCCCCGGCGGGTGTCATAGGCTACTTTTCGTCATCGATCGATATTGATTTTATCGATTTTTATCGATTTTTTTTGCTGAGTTCACCTACGGGGCTGGGAGTTGGCACAGGGGGGTAATCGAGCATGGGGATTCCGAATACAATATTGGTTTTCAGGATTATCGATTACTTTTATCGATTTTATCGATTTTTTGCAAAGTTTGAGCTAGGGGGCTGGGAGTTGGCACAGGGGGGTAATCGAGCATGCTGATCATCCCCAAGGGGGGTGATCAGCATGCTCGATTACCCCCCTGTGCAAACTCCCAGCCCCGCAGGTCAAACTTTACAAAAAAAATCGATAAAATCGATAAAAGTAATGGACGATCCTGAAAACTAATATTGTGTTCGTAATCTGCATGCTCGATTACCCCCTGTGCAAACTCCCAGCCCCGCAGGTCAAACTTTACAAAAAAATCGATAAAATCGATAAAAGTAATGGACGATCCTGAAAACTAATATTGTGTTCGTAATCAGCATGCTCGATTACCCCCCTGTGCAAACTCCCAGCCCCGCAGGTCAAACTTTACAAAAAAAATCGATAAAATCGATAAAAGTAATGGACGATCCTGAAAACTAATATTGTGTTCGTAATCAGCATGCTCGATTACCCCCCTGTGCAAAATCCCAGCCTCGCATGTCAAAATTTACAAAAAATCGATAAAATCAATAAAAGTAATCGATAATTCTGAAAACTAATATTGTATTCGGAATCCCCATGCTCACTTCCCCCCTGTGCCAACTCCTAGCCCTGTAGGTGAACTCTGCAAAAAAATCGATAAAAATCGGTAAAATCGGCATCGATCGATAACGAAAAGTGGACTGTGACACCCGCCGGGGCCCGAAGTGTATGTGCGCCAAGTTTGGTCCGGATACGGCGGAGCCGGGTAAGCCAGCTAGTAAATTCTAAAAAATTTTCAAAAATTCATTTTAACCCTTTAAAAAAATTTTCGGGGGTGTGGCTGACGCCACGCCCCCTTTTTCTGAAATTTTGGGGTTCTGAGCTCGCGAAAATTTTAAGGAGCACACCAAAAAAAATTTTCGGAGTTCGTGGCTGACGCCACGCACCTTCATGAGAAAAAAAATTTCTGTCGCCCCCCCCCCCCGAGCCGAAATTTTGGGTACGCCACTGCTCTCTACATCTGGTATTTACCTGTAAGTTTTCTTATTTTTTCCATGGTTAAAACTCGAGAAACATCCATTCGGGCCGAAAGCGGCCAAAATAAGCCTTTTTCAAAGTTCTTCCGCAATCAATATTTCTCAAATACCAGCGCTTGTATTTGAAAGGCAAAAGTTCATGGTTTGACTTCCAAAAGTTCAAGCTTTAGAATCACCTATGAAAAAGCAGCCAAGCACAGCTTTGACAAAAAATAAGAATTATTTTTCTCCATCTAGCTGTGGAAAAAACCAGCAGACTTGCATGTAAATGCCATGCAGAAAGTATGTGCTGGAATTAAGAAATTTGTGGGATTTTTTTAGACTAAGATACAACTTTTGTCCAACTTTTTATTAGTTCAAATCCTTTTAGATGTCGCTGGAACAAGCTTGAACTTGGTGGAACTTTATGTGGAACAAATTTAGAGCAAATATTTGGGTATTTTCATGTAAAGCTTTCCTTGCTCTATCGAACAGTCCTCATACATTTTTGGTGTTCGACTAGTCGCGCTGCCGTAGCAAGGAATAAAAAGCGACATAATTTTCTCGCTAATATGAAATGAAAATGACATGATTGAGTCACCCTAATTGTCGCTACAATATCGCATTGCAACAACCCATCATTTAGTGTTGTTTGAAGTCCAGAATAGGATACTGTGAGTTTCTTCCAAAAAAGTTGAAAAACCCTGTAGCAAGATTTTCGCGCATGCTCATTTTACTGACCGCCTTTCTACGGGACTTCCAGACCTTCCAAATTGACATAAATTGACTTACAAATACACAACTCAATCACATTTTTGACGAAAATTGAAGACCCGTCATGTATACTTAGCATATTTTCTAAACGATGCATTACGGTGAAGAGCAAGTTTCATTTTCAAGATTGCCTACACTTGTTGGCTTAATGTGAGAGCTTTGAGCATGTGGCTTTTTTTTCAAAATGTGACGTTCAAATGTGCTTCAAATCCTTCTCAATGTCTCTTAATCGTACATTAATGAAGAGCAACCAGATCCGTGTATTTGTTGAGGCACAAATTTTGCCGCAAATTCTCTCGGCATTGGGTACATAATAGTGAGCGGAAATTCTACATACCATACCTGTATATGGCCGAATCATCGCACGCAGAGACAGGAAGCGACTAAGGATGCTGTCGACATCTTTCAAATTACACGCTCTTCTATTTTATCAATCTGCTGTCTCTTTCAACGAGCTATCTTGAAACGCAGCGTGTCCAATGCGTGCGATGCGTTGCCTGTACATACTGATATTGTTGCGGGTGCAGTACCAAAGTCTGGTATGGTGTGTACTGTCGGAATATCTTTTCAACAACATGATTCTGTACAGCTTAGAAGTCAAGACGGTCATCGCATATTCGGGATTGGCTTGATTTTGTACTACGCACTTCACTCGCGCCTTCAGTGATCCTTCCTGCTGAGCACTTTCACCCGTGATGTAACTGTTATTTATTATGTTCACCTACAAATAAAATATGACTGATACTGCTCGATCACCATTGCATAAAATCTCCAAATCACTATAAACTTCACGTGCTCTTAAGCTGCTAGAGTCTTTTCATTTAGCATTTCCAGTAGATCTGTCATTGTACCAACACGCTGATCTGTACTCCGTATCTGAAAACGCGTACTACATCAAAAATATGTTAGACTGTACTTATCCCATTGTGTCAAAGCCGCACCCGTGATGAAAGGACTCCAGTGACCACCATGGTATAATAAATAGCCTGGAATGTGTACATTTAGAGTCGGCCGCGAATAGCAAATCTAGCCGGTCGGCGCACGTGTTCAGGTGGCTGCGAGAGTATGTGGAGTAGTGCGAGACGGAGGAGGCCGTCAGCTGGTCATTTTCGAGAAGACTTCGATGATAGGAAGTGAAAGAGCGCACTGACCAGAGAGAATAAGTGTGCTGCGTGAGGGGCGGTCGGTCACGAAGCGGCTGACGGTCAGCTGGCAAGTGGAACGCTCACTGAATTGCAACGTTCTGTAAATATCACAACAAAAAGTACTTCTCGACGTAGCCCTCCTCCCTCAAGGAATAGCCTCAACCTCTGCAGTTGCAGCTGACCCCGTTTCTCTACTTTTTGCAAACAGCCCATTATCGTTGTCCTATCTACTCAAACCTGCGAGCAGAATTAGTTCTCACAGAAGTAGTCGTGTTCCATGTATCTCAAATTATACGTATAAGCCCTAGCAACTTACCATGTTAGACTGTACAGTAGTACTACTACAAACTCTGTGAACTGATAATCTCGAGGTTCCCTGACACATTAGTCTTGAACGGTTTCATTGCTGATCTCTGCACTTTTGCCATGTTCTTGTTTGTGCGATAATTTTAGATGTCACATGGACTAAAACGTGATTCTTTTACGACGGCTTCCATTGAAACGCTGACTGACGAAGAGAATGCGAATACTTATGGAAAAATTATACAAGTGGGTGAGGCTTGATACTAAATATTTGGTAATGGAAATCCAGCTGACTTAGAATGTTGGATACAAGTCCACATCTACCTTCTGTCACTCTCCCTTCTTCTAATAACTTTGTGATAGATTCCCAAAACAACAATCTTTGCCAGTTTAGCTGATGCAATTACAAATAATTCTCCGCTAAATCACTTTGTCGCTGTAATTTCATAGCGAAGTTGAAGGATCGAACATGCTGCACGCTGCTACGGATTCTGTTTTTACAAGTGCTATTGTTTGCCGTGCTATTCTCGCTGCGAGCACGAATATTTTCGTATGTTAATGCAACCGGTTTTGTTGTTCTGCTCGCGCATAGCTCAGAAGTATGGAGTGCCAGATGCTTATGCTGAAATCTTATTTGTTTCTAGCGACCCGAAAGGTTCGGAACAGATACATTGATAAGTTCCATTCAGCAAGTGATTTAACCGCCGACATGTTTTCCTCTTATTTATGAACTAGTCATTTTCAAAAATTGATTTGCTCTCAATTAAAGCCGCGAAGGCGAAGGCATTAGCGAGAGTTCTTCGTGGTAACACTCTACTCTGGTCTTCGAGCCTTTTCCTTCAGCGACCATATGCATACCCTTTGTTCACTAAGAGCAGCGTTGCCAAGAGTAAACGCTTCGAAAAACTTCTGATCAAGTTTTTCGCAACACTCCTCGGGTAGTGCATTTTTCTGGAAAACAGCCTCCACTAGCGGCATTTACTCATACGCTTTACTTTCGACCAAGAAATGCAAGAACCTCCAGGTTTAGGCTTGAAGCTATTTTTGTTCAAAGTGTGCGGGAATTGGCTGCGATGCAAGTTACCCTAATTTCACTCGTATAAGGCGCGAGGGATTTTTTTTCCAAAATCGACCAGCCCAGACACGCTAAGGGACTTTAAAACCAAAAGACCCTTTAACGTGCTGTATATTGCTTAGGAGAATCGTGCGGTATAAAGATCTCTTTCCGGAATACAGTGAAGCGGCTGAGCGGCTCGCTTGAAAAATCGAAAAACTGCGCCTTATACGCGTGAAATTAGGGTATTTCTCGTTTTCAAAATAGCTCTTTCTGAAAGCATCGACTCTTCCAGCGGGACCCAGTTACGCTGCGCTTTTACAGATTACCAAGATCTCTCTCTCCCCCCCCCCCCAATAAAAAATACTCTGATCAGATTTCTGATCAAAGTCGAAACATCCGCGAAAAAATCAATTCGCGGTATGGTGACTTGCCCCCGAAACCTTTCCCTTACACTAGCAAGGCTCACAAAACTGTCAGTCTCATGCGCTTTGCTTTTCACAAGGAAAAACAAGATTTTTACTCAAAACGTTCTGACATATTTTTGATCGGAGTTCATGGAAAATAATGCGGTGAGAAGCTATATTCCTAATAGTGCGCTTTAGGAAGCATCGCCTCCATTAAGGCCCGTATGCACGTATATCCCTGCTGGGAAGGGGAGGAGATCTGAGAGGAGATGCGTAATATCTTGCGGGTGTATGTCAAGAGGCGCGATTTTTATTGCCAGATGGACACCAAATAGTACATAATAAGTGTTCTATGACTTTATAAAAGTATTCAAGTTTTAAAAGGAGATGTATCTGATTGTTGCATGGGTTGCTCAATCTTAATACCTTGGAATCGGTCAAAAACAGCAACTTTGAAGGTCAAAAACCCATGAAAACGCAGTTGAGAACAAATTCGTTAATATTTCGATCCATATTCCAGCGAAAGCCGCAAAACTCAGCAATTAGTAATTTCAGACAGATAGTAAGCTAATGCACTTTATCCGGTACTTTTTGAGGACTTGCATAGCACTAAACGGGAGTTTTAAGCTAGTGACAGCCGGAGAAATCGCGACTCTCGACCGTCTCCCATATCTTGCTACTTTAGTTATCTTTCTTCTTCCTTCTCTATCTTGCTTACGAAGGTTCTCATACCCTTAATACCTGCACATAACTGACGCCAGGTCACTGGCATAATTAATTAGATTTTCACTATTTTGTGATCCCCTGGGGTTCCGCAGGGGATCACACAAAATGGCAAAAAACCAATTTTGTATGGCAGTAACCTGGCATCCATTATGCGCAGGTATAAGTGTATTTGAAGAACTTTACAAGCAAGTTAGAGAAAGAAGAAGAAAGATACGTGGAGTAGTGAGATATGGCGCATCCACTCTCAGATCTTCTCTCCTCCCCAGCGTAGATGTACATGCATATAGGCCTAAGACACGCAGTTACTCCGCTTATCTATTTGCAAACAAATAACACACTAACCTGTGAAGCAAAGTGGCTCTACTAACGAGACCCAGTTACTCATACCATACGCTCTTTGTATAAGCAAAAGCCAAAAGTTAAACAGAAACGCTTGCAAAAATTCTTTACCAAATTTTGCATAAATTATCTGCGAAACGACATTATTTCCTTAGATAGTGCGCTAATCTGGAAACGTCAAACATTCTCCACTAGCAAAACTCATTCAGTATACGCAGCATCTCTGCGAAAGGTAAGATTTCAACAAACCTTACGTAAACCCGCTAAGAACAACAGGCGAAGTAAACGGTTGTGCACCAAACCGAGAGTAATGGTGACTAGAGTTTTATTAGCTCTCCACTCGCTCTAGAGCTAGACAACTTTGCTAAAGGAGGTTTTTGCAAAGAGAGAAGAAGGCGAAGAAGCCGTTGACGACAGTCAAAGATCCCATTCAAAACATAATTGTCTGACTTTTTCCGAAGAATTACGGAACGTGTCTCTCTCATCCACGTAGGTGGACCATCTCCCGTTCTGTTGCCCATAATTCAGCTTGTGTTTGTCTGCATGAACATTTATAGAGACTTTCATCTCAGTCTGAACTAAATCTGGAACTTGTATTTTTGGTCACTTCATATTTTTGCAATCATTTGAGTGAAGGTGTGCGGTGGTAAATGATAACTGTGTGGGAAAGTGACGACTACGTCATGTTGATTGAATTGGTTTCTTTCGTACTTTGGGCAAGGATGTGGCAGCTGTTGTGGATGTATTTCATTTGATCTCGACTGATTTAGCTAACTCACCAAACCATTTTGGCAATGAAGAGTGGAAACTGGTAAGCGGAAGGAGGAGACACAGTGGAGTTCTCAGTAATAAATCTGCACAGAGCAGAGTCGGTCTTCAGATAAGGTTCAGAACTGGTGATTAAAGGCAGCGTACACCCAAAATCTAAGTTGCCTAATTTTCTAGATTTTTCTACACCATGTATATACTGGGCCCAGAAGAAGACCAACTGCGTTGGTCCGGTCTCCCAATGTTGCTTCTGAGCGGAGAAAACCCCCCTCAATTTTCTTGCACGCCGCCCCTTTTCTTTCGCTCCGCCTCCTCCGGACGAATCCATAACAGCGTAAGCTGCAATTGCAGTTGCAGTTGCTGTTGCAACATCTGTTGCATTTGTTTTGGGTGTACGCTGCCTTTAAGTTTAAATCTCGGTATCAGAATAAAATTACTGTCTTCCTTCGTCAGTTGATGTTTTCCACCTACCTATTTTCTTCCAACCACTATACAGCACAACCAAATCTTTGTAGGGATTTCCACTTACCTAAACACAGAGTTATTTTGGGAGGTTAGCAATCCATTCTTGCATTAATTGCCAGTTTCTAAGTAGATTTCTCTCCCTCTGACATGTGACTTTTAGTTAAGGTCTATTGGCATCCTTTGAAATGATCTGATATTCGTTAATGCAGGTTGCTGGAAAATCGTGGAAACGGGAAGGGGGGATGGAAAGGATTGTACGGATGGATACCTTTATGGGGAGGGGTCGCAAAAGAGGTTCATCGATCGCATTAACACGTTAGGCACTGATACGAAGCCAAAGCGTTAAGACAGTGGCGAGAAACCTCCATGGAGAGTTGGGGGACTAGTCGTATTGAAATGGCGACTAGTTCCCCAACTCTCCGTAGAGATTATTGATTAACTTTTAGAAAGTCGCCAGGGGTAGGTGGCCATGCGATTTACAGGCAAGCAGGCACTGGAAATATAGGTCGCTGATTTTCGGTCCGTTTGCAGATATTTGGAAGAGTGTTTGCCACTTTTTAGACAAACGCTCAGGGAACAATCGCTGCCTTTTCATATATAATAATTGCGGCGCAATAGCCGCATTCTCGCACACTTTTCGCGAGATTATGCAAAACTGTTGGGGGCCGCACGGTCCTTTGTGAAAAACCGCGCAGCCCGTAGGTACCTTCCACTTAGATAGATGCTCGCCGGAGACAGGCAGACCGCGAAATCGCGCTTTGCAAGTGCTTAGCAAAATTTTGGGCCAATCTTCAGCGAGCAGTTATTCTTTCATTGTCGCACGTTCTGCCAGCGGGTCAAATTTTTAGCGAGCGGTGGCCAAATTTTCAGCGGGCGCTCGGACTCTCTCTACGCATTTTCGGAAGTACGCCGAGCAAAAGTAAGATCATATATGGAGGAGGTGCCATTGATGGTTCAATTACCCGAGTTTGGGGTGCTTTCTCCCAGCGGAAAATACCAGCTCAGACAATCACCGAGGGCAGGCGGGCGCCGGAAAATACGCGTTGCTGAAATTTTGCATTCGCTCGCAAATTCCAGGAAAATGGTCAGCAAGTTTTTGAGAGAGCGCCTGTTGAATTTTTTTCGCTCTTATCTTTTGCAGATATATTGCTGAATCTCTGAAGAATCGCGCAGCAAGCGGCCTTCCGAAAAGTCCTGATTGCTTTCTAAAAAATCCGCGAGCGGAGTGCGAGAAATCAGCCATCTATTTTCCCGGTGCCCGCCTGCCCCGGCGATTGCTCAGATAATCACCGGGGGCAGGCGGCCATGCGAATTTTGAGCAAACGGGCACCGGAAAAATAGTTCGCTGATTTTTTGCGGCCCGATTGCAGAAATTTGGAAGAATGTTGACCAATTTTCAGACAAATGCTCGGAGAACTATCACGGTTTTCCTATAGATTAGTTGCGGCGCATTGGCCGCATTCTCGCGGACGTTCCGCGAGAATATG